ACACTGGGCCTTCCAGGCAGCTGCGTTTGGTGAGGAAAGGGAGGTAGGTTTGTATTGGGGCTTCTCAGAGGACCAGATCAGGGCTTTCATATGTGGCCTTCAAAGAAATTTATAAAAATTCATCAAAAGCCAGTGTGATTTTGCCTGTCCTCTGGGCTCCCCTCCACATTTGTCAAACAGCCCTTTGTCCCCACGTTGGTCTGGCCTCCAGAGAGCTTTGTAACTGATTCGAATGAAAACACCAGGGCAGTCCATGCATGGCATTGAAGACCTGCCCACCTCTCCCTGTGAGAACAGCAAAGGGGGAGGGTCAGACAGGACTGTGGGAGCCACCTCTTCCCTCAGTGGGTGGCAGCAGGCGCCACCTCCTTCTCTCCACAAATGCACTCACCCTGTGCTAACATCCAAGGAAACCTGTGGATTTCAAGTTCTCCCAGCATCTCTCAGGGCTGTGGGCTAAGAAGGAGGCAGCCACCCATGTGAGGGGCCCCATTTTTGCCTGGTGCCCTGGTGCTCTGCCTGGGTAAGACTCTGGATTCCATATTCCAGCTCAAGAGGGCACACGGTTGCCAAACACTCAAACCTTGCAGGAGGCACATTTCCATGCAAGGAGGCAGGGACTGACACAATAAGCACCTATCGTGTGCATGCTGGGCTCCAATCCGCACGGGTCAACCTAGGAGACCTGGTCAGGTGTGGGCCTCACTTCAAAGAGGTTGCCTGCAAGCTGGAGGGCACCAAAACTGCTGTGGGATCTTGAAACCAGTTCATTAAAAGAGGCAGACTGTTTAGCCTGGAGAAGCACAGATTCCTAAGGGACCAGATCACACTCTTCAAAGAGAAGAGGCCAACATCAGAGGGGGAATGGAGGAGAGCAAAGGGTTATTCATATATGTGTATGTGGAGTAGCCACGGGCTCCTGGATTCTTAGAGCCAAATGGACCTCCAAGGCCAACCCCCACCGAATGTGCAATAAAGGGAAGTCTGCTGTGTATATGCAGGTGTACATTCTTTTTTAGTTTTTGTGAACCTATGTGTAGTTATTCATGTACTATACACACAACTCCAGCTTAAAGCAGATCACTGTAAGCAGCAGGTGCCTGTAGAGAAGTCCCATCAGAGGGAAAAAGCTTAACCCATCACCAACAGAACCACTTCAAACACAATATCCCAAACCAGGAGACCACTCCATCTTGCCATTTACAGAAACTGCAGGGTTTTTGTCAGCTGGTCTGCCAGCCGGCATGCTGAATGGCTGACCATGCGCCAGTGTCCCCAGAACCGGTACAGGAGGCTGGCCAGGGCTTCACTGCAGCTCCAAGTGGCGGAGCCAGGAGCCTGGGCAAAGAGAGAGGGTAGGCTCAATGTGGGGCGATCAGTTCTATCTGTTGTGGCCACTGAGCCATGGGGCAGGGTGCTTCTGGTGGTAGTGAGCTTCCTGTCATGGCAGAGCACGAGTAAGACCACCTGTGGTGGATGTTGTCAAGGAGAATCCTGTCCAGGGGGTGCGACTGAGAGACACCTCTGTGGTCTCTGCCTATTTGGAAATTCCACAATGTTCTTGTTCCCCAGAACGCTGAGAAGGGGTGATGTGGAAGCAGTGGGTGTGGGGAGATGGTGTTCACCAAAACCTCAATTAACCCGGATGACCGGTCTCATGAGAAAGAGGCTTGTGAGAGAGAGGATGCATCCTCAGGAGGGAGGTACCCAGATAAGGCATGCATATTCACTTCTCCTGAAGCATCGCTTTTCAGTAGCACATCTGATCATGTGCCCCTCAGATGGAATTGTTAGCCACAAGGATGAGGGGCCCCAAGAGGCCCATTATCCCAAGCCCCCCCGCATCTGAGTGTCCACAGGACTCTAAGATCCCAGGCTTCAGGCAGTGGCTTGTGGAGCTTTGAGCTGTGTTTGATTTCAATGGGGGAAGAAGCAATGTTTCTGGTCCCACAGGCTAGAATGCAAATGTGAAGGCCAGGTACCTCCCACCATGGATTTGCAGACACCATCTCAGGTGGAACAATAAGATGGAAGGAATTCAGAACCTGTCAAGGGTTTGCTATTACATCACCTCGCTGGGTTTCATCAGGCCCCTTACGAGGTGATGTCTGCTCATGAACTGACTGGCTCATTGTCTGGTCCACACTCCCTGTCCTCTAAAAATGCAAGCTTTATGAGGACAGGGCCTTTTTCTCATTGTCCTCTGTGTAAGATCGCTAAAACCAGGACAGTATCTGCTACGTAGCAGGTGTCCAATAAACATTTGCAGTTGCACGGAGAACAATGGGGCAAGAAGAGTGAAGGTGATGGTGAGTGATGGAGTTGGGGATGGGCCCTCTGGACTCGGCTGCAATGCCATCCACCTGTTCATCCATTCTCAACATCCTCCCATTACCCCTTAGGGAGAAGGATGCCAAAAGGGCTCATGGCTCTCTAGCAGAGAGCCATGTTCAAGCCTGATGAAGGAGAATTCAAGGCAGATGGGCTCCATGGTTGCCGGCCCCTCCCTCTCCGCATTGCAATCCACAAGCCTAAATTCTAGGCTTCGTCAAATACATGCGGAATAAAAGTATGAATGAATGGTTGCAAGACCCTTATGCCGGGTCCACTACATGAGCAGTCAACCCCCAAATTTGGAGTTCAAGATTCTAGAACCAAAGTGAGTCAGTTATTGGCCAATTCACAGATAGTTTCACCAAGAAACAGTTTAGCCACAAAGAGATTTAGCTTCTTTGTATGCCAATGTGGGTGTGAAAAACGTCTGTGTGTCAAGTTGCATGTGTGTGTGAGCATGTATATATGCATTAAATGTGTGCACCTTTGCAAAGCAGTGTGTGTGTGTGCATGTTTGTGCACATGTGTTCTCTGCATGCGGGTATTTGAATGTGATGGTGGGAGAGAGTGTGCACGTGTGCAACTGTGTGTGTGAGCACTTGGCCGCAGAATCTGAATTTCCTCTCGTACTATTTTCCTGGTACACACCCAATCTCGATCCCTTTCTTTTCCTTTCTTCTCGGAAATCCATTACTGAAAGGTTTTCTACCCGCCTCCAGGGGGAGGGGGGCTGGGGGAAGGGGAAGCTAAAATCACAAGGCCCAGATCAAAACACTCAGCAGCTAAATGAATTCGGCAGCGTTTTCCCGCATGACTTGGAGGGATAATTTAGTGAGGCCGCCAGCTGGAAGGAAAGGGATTAATTCTGCACTTAGCACAGCTCCAGTGAATAATTCATTACTGAGACCTTTGTGCCTAGCCCCTGGGCAACTGGGGAAGTGTCCCGTCCACCTGCCTGTTGCCTGCCTGGGTCCCCCAGTGGCCTGACCAGGGGCACTTGATGCTCCTTTCGGTCCTCTGGACACAGGTGCCCAGTAAAGGGACAGGAGGCAGGGCAAGGTGAGGAGGGGACAGGCAGTGGCCACTGACAGACTCTAGACCCCGAGAAGAGGCCGTGGAGTGTTGAGCTCCAATCTGGGAAATCTGTGACATTTTCTTTAAGTACCCTTCTTCTTTCCTGGGGTCTTTCATTGCTTCTGTGTCTTCCCCTCTCAGCACCTTCCTGGTCCTACATGTGGTTTGGTGTTTGGTGTTGGTGAGGGCTGTCTGGCTGTATCTAACAAACTCTCTTTCACCAGGAATTAGAGGAATTAGAAGACAATGCAGAACATTCCAGAAGGGGAAGTGCTAATGGGAGGTCCCAGGTACTCACCAGAGGTCTTGCAGGGACACAATTGCAGGTGGCTGCATTCCCAGACTATACCTCTTACCCCTCACCATGGAATTCCTGTGTTCTCCATGCATAAGGCACAGGGCCAAGTATTACCCCAGTGCTTCTGGCTATTTTTCCTGGTATGGGACGCTGGAAGGAGTGGGCTGACCCAGACATCAGCTCCTGCCAGTATTTCCTGGGTTCATGGTCCTGAACTGCCCATATCCCGGCTTCGTGCCTGTCCCAGCACTACCGACTAAAAAGTGGAAGAATTCCAGGAGGGGCCGGTGCACTGGGGCCAGATGACCAGGGTCCAACCTGGACTCTGAGTCCAGGGAGAGCTGACTAGAGGAAGAGATCCCATCTGTCAGGCAGGGCTCAGCCAGTGGTATCTTTCCACTTGGATCAACCCAGCTGTGGCAGGCAGGATTCCAAAAACGGGCCCTCAAGATTCCACACCCTAATCCCCAGGACCCATGTCTATGATGAGCTATGACCCCTGTGATTATGTTACATGGCACAGTTGACCTTAAGATGGGGACATTATCAGAGTGGGCCTGCCCTAATCACATGAGCCCCTTTAAAAGCAGAGGGTTTTCTCTGGCTGCTGACAAAGGAGAAAGCCAGAGAGTTTAGAAGTGTAAGGGGGATTTGACATGCCTGCTGGCTTAAAGATGGAGGGGCCCATTGTGAGAAGGAATGCAGGTGGCCTTCAGCAGCCGAGAGGCCCCTTGGGATATAGGCAGCAAGGAAACAGGGACTTTGGTCCTACAACGGCAGGGAACTGGATTCTGATGGCCACCTAAATGAGCTCGGAAGCACATTCTTCCCTAGAGCTTCCAGAACGGAATGTGACCTCGCCAACGTCTTGATTTCAGCCATGCTGTATCAGATTGCCTACCCACAGAAATGTGAGCTCATAAATGGGTGCTGTTTTAAGGTGCTAGTTTGTTCCACAGCAACAGCAGCCGAAATCCTACTTCACCCTGGTAGAACCTTGATCCCAATGAGCGCAGCTTGGCTTGGGCTGGGTTAGAGACTGACTCCCAGATCTGGGTGGCCCTCTGCTTTCAATTCTTTTCTTCCTAATCTCAGCTTTCTATCTTGTTTTCCAGAGCCTCAAATCCCCCTCAGATATTTCTACCCAAAGCAGCTGTCTCCTCCTCCCAGAAGCCCCTGGCCCCAGCCCCTGAACAAGGCCAGCAATTGTGAAGGAGGTTGGAACCCACTGTGGGGCTCCACGAGCTGGCATACGGCTGCCAGGCCCTGACCTTCCCATGCGCTGCAGCCTTACCTCAGAGGAAAGCAGCTGGAAGGAGATATCCACTGTGGGGGCCTCACCATTTATGGTTTTCAGCTTGGTGTCCTAGGGGAGGAGAGGGGAGCAGTCAGCCCATGCTGGCCAAGACAGCTTCTGCCTCTGTTCTGCCCAGTGCTCTGGACTGCCCAAGAAGGTGCCTGCTAGGGGCTCTGCCCGGGGCCTGAGAGGGAGGTGGGAGCTGGTCCCTGCCTCCGCTCACCCTCCCTGCCTCAAACCTCGCTTCCCAACTCCACTGTAGACCCGACTGGCACTTCCAGACCTGTTTCCTGGCAGAGTAGGGAAACTCCCATTTATTGGGGTCTATTATGTCAGAATGGCCAGAAGTATTTCAGGGGAAAAGGTGGCATAGAAATAAACAATGATGTAATCGTGTATTAATTCTTAATGAGAATTTATTCTGTTCTAAATACTCTACTTTCTAAATACTTTTGCTTCAAAAAAATCTCACAGCCACCCTAGGAGAAAAATTCTATTACTATGAACCCATTTTACAGATAAGGAAACTGAGGCACCGGAACTTTAATTTTCCCATGGTGATGTAATCTGTTAAGGGGTGGAATTGGAATTTGGATCCAGACAGTCAGGCTCTAGAGCCTGGGCCCTTGGCTCTTTTGTCATACAGAGAGATCCTATAAGGGCATGTTGTTCGCATTTTAGAGATGGGCACTTTGAGGTTCGGAAAGGCGAAGACACTTGCCCCAGGTTGCACAGTGAGAACTAGGGCAAGTCAGTATTTAAACCCAGGCTGGTTAAAGGATTGAGCTCTTGCCACCATCCCATGGGGGCTCCCTGTACTTCTGCTTGTGTTGCTGGGGCAGGAGCTCAGGGGAGCTCAGGGGAGCTCCTTACACATGACAGTGGTTGGCTTCCCTGGTAGGGGCCCTGGTGGAAGCTGCTGGAGAAGCCAGATTCACTTGTGCTAGTGTGGCAAGGTGGAGCAGGGTGCAGAGGGGTGGGAGCAGGCCACCCATCATGAGCTCCGTCCAGGGTTGGGGACTCACGGTGATGGGGAGCCTCTCCACGTGCAGCCCATTCAGACCTTTCCCTGTCAGCATCTTGCGGTACAAACGGTTCTTTAGCGGCAACACGGAGATGCCCAGGGGCTTGCTGAGGGTCCACGGCTCACTGCCTTTCACTGTACAGGGAGGACCAGCTGGGACTCCCACCAGAGCCCCCACCCCAGGCTCCTCGGATCCCAGCATCTGAGGCCCCACCAGGCGCCCGATCTGTTGGTACCCGACATCTAGTTCTCCCATCCCTCACTGCCAGCCTCTTTCCTGTCTCCTGGCCTTGCCCTGCACAAGGATCCTCCTCCTCTGCTCTTTAGGGCTTCCTGAGTTCCAGGCCAAACTCCAAACGTATTCTGGGTTTTGGGGTGTGTACATGGATCTCCCTTGTTTCTGCCCTTGGGGGCTTTACCCTCTGAAGGTGGAACTCAGGCTTGGATCATCTGGTCTCTGAACTGTTTCTCCTGTAGTCTGTGAGCCCTGGGGGATCCCTCCCTCCTCGCTGACAGGTACATGGGGAGGGGACAGGGGTTCAATAAAAATGCATGGATCTAATACAGGAATAGGACCCATGTATCCTGGCCCGTGCCATGGAACAAGGACAAGGAAGGCTGCCACGTGCTCCTCTACCTGTCTGCATGCACTAGGAACTGGGTCCCCTTAACCCACCCCTGCAGGGGGCAGAGGCAGGTGGTCTGAGCACCCCTTCATCATATGTCCTGATGCACGGCTGCCCTGGCCTGGCAAGCGCACTCACTGGAAGTCGAGGGGTAGAACTCCAGCACCAGGGCTGTGTCTTCCGAGAAGTTGGTGGCTCCGTCTCGGCCTTGGAAGAGGAAGGACTGATTCCATGAGGGCAGCTCCGGGGGTCCCCCAGGCTTGGACAGCTGAAAGGAGGCAGTGGGAGTGGGTGGTGAGCCCACAGCTTCTCCTAAATGAAGGATGTCCAGATATACCCATCTATGTGTGTCTATATATGTCACAAACGTTTGTCCCAATTACCAAAGCAGCATACGTGTAAGGCATGAATTTTGGAAAATACAGAAGAATAAAAAGATTAAAAAGAAAAACGCTAAATTCCTACACACTAAAGACAACTATCCTAAGCCTGTGCATTTCTTTCTAGTTTTTTTTTCTGAAGCCTATTTTGTATATAATTGCCATCCTAACATCTTATGTTTTTCATTCACCATGAAAACCTGAGCATATCCAGAGTCACAGGTAACCCTGTAATCCACGATTTTCATAGCTGCAGGACATTTTCTCATGTCCAAGCACCCTGGCTTCTCCCTTCCCATGTTTTCCTAGACTCTCACTGCATTGAATATTCTTTGACATGTATCTCTGTATCTCAAATTGTCTCCTGAGTGCCCAAAATGGAGACCCTGAGTTAAAGGATGTGCCGTTTAAGGCATTTGACTGATCGCTGGTAAACTAGTTTCCTGAAAAGTCGCACTAGTATTCACACCCAGGGCTGTGGTGGTATCAGAGATGCCAAATTAGACATGGCCTCTACCCTTGTCACCAGTCCCTCTCTGCCCCACACAGGTTCCCCAGGCCTTTGCAGATGCTACGGCAGGTCTGCAGATGCCTGAGCCTTGGTGTGTCTGCAGGGCATGCCAACGGGCATCTGGGGGACTTGATAGCATACTAAGTCCGCAGCTGGAGCACACACGAGTACTATTTAAACAATGAGACAAGACAGCATTGACTATGGCCGCAGAATAAGGGGCTAGATGAGACATTCCTGAAGGTGGTCAGCAGAGTTGTCTTGCGGGACGAAGGACCAGAGGAAGGCTCTGAAGTAAAATATGGCAGGGTGAAGGGAAGGAGGAGGGGCTTCCGGCTGGGAAAACAGCCCAAGAAAAAGGTCCGTGTGGCAGCAAGCGTGGCAAGGGTGGACGACACCTGGAATGAGGAGGGACTCCAGGTAGAGGAGTCCTGGCATCTGCAAAGGCTGGAAAATGGGGAGTGGGGAATGGAACACAGGGGCATCAGCCTGGAACACCCAGCAGGCAGCCCTGCACGGTCCCAACACAGGGAGGGGCTGGGGCCATTGGTGCGGACCCCCGGCAGGCTGCCTTGCCTCTGTCCCCAGCCAGGGGCTGTCAGCAACAGTGGCGGCCGCTCCCACCTCCTGCTCCCCTGCGGGAATCAGTCAGTGCTCAGAAAGGTCAGCACAAATGCACTGCTGGCTCCGGGAGTTATTGATGCAGGACCTCGAAATATCAGTGTGGGTCCACTCCCCCCGTGGTGGCAGGGCCCTGATGCCTGTCACACTAATGTGCCTGCTCTGATTCTTTGAGGCCCGGCCTGAGGCTCAGCTGTGTCTGCCTTGGCCCCTGCCCCTGGAGACATGAGCTGCAGTCACTTTGGGGCTAGGGGTCCTGAACACAGGGGCAGTGACTGGGCGATGGGAGTGTTCCTGAGAACAGGCTCTGGAGGGAGCTTGGGGACAGCCACTTGGCCCTGGGGCCAGGCTAGAGAAGCTGCTTTCAGGCTCTGTGGGGCTTGGGAGTGGTCTTTCAGGATTGATCCCCAAACCATGCCCATCCCAGAGCCACCCTGTTCTCTTGAGTGCCAGAGGGCCTTCCCCATAGCCTGGATCATCTGCCAGGCCCTGGGACACTCAAGAAGGACCTGTGACTCAGTCCCCTGCTGCCTCCACCCCTGCTTCCCATCCGGCGGTGGGGGGTGGGGAAGAGGGGTATTTAATGGATGCTAGCTGTCCTCTCTGGGGCCTACTAATGTGTCTAAATGGAACCTACTAAGCAAGAAATAGTGTCTGACTGCTCAGTAAGGACAGTTCTTTCCCTGAATGGTTTCCCAGGATGAGTCCTCCAGGAAAGATCCCTTCAGACCCACAACTGGGGAGACAGGGTCCAGCTTCTCCTGTGTATGAACGGAGTGAGGGGGAGGGGCAAGGAATCAAGGATTAATCACATTCACAGTCTGATGCCAAGGCCCTGGTGAAGGTGTCAGTGGCATGCGTGTGTGTGTGCATGCACATGCACGTATGGAGTGGGCAGGGCATGGGGTGGGGAAGCCATTGACCACAGATGCTAATGGGAAAGGCCATGGCAGGTTGTGGAATTAAGGGATGTGATTAACCCTCGGCTGTAATCTTCAGCAAAGCCATTAACCCCTTGCCACTGAGGCAGACCTGCCTTCCCTAGGGACAGAGCCTTCATTACATGGGCCCATGGGCCCTCCTTCCATTCCCCCTGGGCCCACCACATCCACACCCACACCTGCCACTGTCTGCTCTGCCCATTCCAGAAAGAGTAGTTGACAGTGGCTGATGCTGGAGGGCCTCAAGGAAGCCAGGACGCCTTAGCTCTGGGCGCAGGTCTGCCTCAACCTTGCTGCAAGACCTCCGGAAGTCCCTTCCCCTCACTGGAACCAAGCTGTCACTGTCCACTGGGAACTGTCTTATGCTCGATGCCTTGGAAGACTGTTGTGAAGGCTGAAGGAGATAATGGATACTTTGATATTGAGGTGAAAGTTCAGTTGAACTCAGCAAATGCTGACTGGGGGCTCCTGCATGCTCTATACCTCAGGGGTGCTCAGGGCCTACAGGTGACCTAGAGTCAGACCCTGTCCGCTCTGGAGTTCACCGTCTTCCTAGGTGATAGGACACACACACACACACACACACTCCTATGATCTATGCAGAGGCCTAAGCAAGTTGTGAGTTCTGGAAGCTGGGATGTCAGAGGAGAAAGTGATGACTTCTGAACGGGGTAAAGGAGGATCTGAGGGAGGAAGACCATTCTAGGCTGAGCGCAGCAGAGTTGGGAGGCCAGAGAGGACAGCACGAACGTGGAGAAGAGCTGGGCATCCAGAGTGACTACAGAAAGCCTGTGCGGGTTGGAACAGTGAAACAGGAGGCTGTAGGGGACGAGGCCTTGTGTACCTGGTGGCCAGCGAGGGCTTTGTCCTGTCAGTGAAGGAGTCAGGGATCCAGGGGAAGAGCCTCGATCTGGGGGAGGCATTGCCCTGGCTGCTTCTCACACTCTGAATGAGATGGGCCCAAGTGGAGGCTGCTGCTGTGGGTCACGCCAAGAGAAGACGCGGCCAGCACTAGGGCAAGGTCTGCGGGTTGGAAAGGGGCCCCATGAGAGCTTGGGTACCGACTGGCCATGGGAGCTGAGACAGGAGGAGATGACAGGAGCAGCCTGCTGGCCAATGGCCCTACCCCAAAGGTGCGGGGTGCAGGGGAGGAGTAATTCCTAAGTCCCACCCTATTTCGTGTCCCTCCGGTAGAGTCAGGTCAGCCCTACGGGCCCACCTATCTCTTCACTCACCAGTTTTGCCGTCATCACCAGGCTCCGAGAGGGGTGAAGCAGACTCTAAGAGCCGCCTACCCCTCAACCATTCCCCTTCCTCCCTCCTAGCCAACAGAAACTGCTTTGGTCCAGGCGGCCACCCTGCACCTCATCTGTGCACTTCGGCTACAGCAAGGCGATGATGCCACACCCCTCCTCAGTGATTGGCTGTGAGAGAAGTGCATGTGACCCAATTCTGGCCAATGAGACGAGAAAGGAGGTCTGCGGAGGGGCTGCGGGTGGGAGGTTTCCAACGCTACTTAAAAGCCACAGGTGAGAAGGAGAGGAGGCTCCTTCTTTCTCTGGTCTTGGTCATGTCTGGGGTACCCCGAGTATTTTGCCTCCATGAGCTGTTAGCCACCTGAAGATGGCAATCCAGGGATGGTGGAAAGCTCCTGAGTCCTGAGGACATTGCTAAGTGGTGCATCAACCAATTCTGGCAGCATCCTACATGGGGACCCCTTGACAATTGTAACAATAAATATCCTTAGAGCTTAAGTCCATGAGGTTTCTGTTACTTGTAGCCAAATGTAACAAGGGCAATGGCCAGGCTGGCCTCGGGAGGCACTGGACACTAGGAGGGGCAGCTCTGAAAGGGATGGGGTCCACTGAGCTTCCTTCCATCCTGGGCTTGGGCGCCTTGCACAGGTTACTCCTTTAATCTCTCCTAACAGCCCAGTAAAGGTAGGAATCTGGAATTGGAGAAATTGAGCTCATGCAGCTGGTAAGTCACAGAGTGGGGTGGGGGTGGGGGTCGAACTCAGGTGTGCCAGGCTCTCAAATCTCTGCCCATGGTGCTTTGGCTTGGTGGGCAGCTGGTAGGAAGTCACAGCAACTGAAGATGTCAGAGAGGCAGGTCCTAGATTACCTGGTCCAACCACCACCTCTCAACTCAGAAAGGGGCTGCGGCAGGGGTGTGTATAAGCTGCTGACTGGTGCCCCTTTGAGGTAGGGCTCTGCCCACCCCCACCTTGTACCACAGAGGCCTGTCCCTGTCCTCTCACTGCTGGTACGTGGGCACCTCTGTGAGTTCTCAACCTGACCCAACTACCATGTTGCCTAGTGAACAAGTGTCCTGCCATTACTGGAACCCTGGCCTTGAGTCCCACACATGCATGGGGCACAGGAGGCAAGTCTTTGGAGCTAGGGGCACCTCCCCCCCCCACAAAGATTCATTAGCAAAGGCAGCCAGAGAGGGTCCAGGGATGGGAGGGGGCTCCCTCATTAAAGCAGCCAGTGCTTCCTGCCCCTTGGGACCGCCTGCTGATTGGTTCATAATTTTCTGGGCAAATGCAGGGCCATGTGTGAGATGACTCTGGGGAAATCAGGCCGAGGATTGGTTTGGGTTTGAAGCCTCTGTCCCCAGGGTCCCCCTTCATCCCACCCCTCCCTGACACCATCACTCTTGCCTGTGTCTGAGCCTTCAAATGTCCTTGCCTTTAAATGAAGGCTGGGGCTCCAAAGGGGTGCCTCATTCTGTATTTGCCCTGCCAGACATGAACTGTGGTGGGCAGACAACAGGAAGGACTTCCCAGGCACCCTGGTCTTCTTCAAGGCCCAGGAATGTGGGGATCACCATGTGGGGCAAGCTCCCACTGAAGTAGAGACTATGGGAAGAGACTGAACTGGCCATTGCCTGGAGCCCAGCCACAGTCTGCACATCCCTCCCCAACATATTCAAATACACTACCCTCCTCTCCAGACATGATGTGCTTCATGCCCTGTGTGTCCCATCCCTATTCTCGCACTCTTATTCTCTACTGCCCTGCAACAACCCTCCCCTATTGAAAACTCAAGAGCCTTGTGTCTGGATACCCACTCTAATCACCCAGGCTTCATATCCCTATGGCCTCCAATTAAAAAAAATTTTTTTTATTGTGGTGAAATATACACAAATAAACCGTCCCATTTGAACCATTTTTAGGTGTACAGTTCAGTGGCATTAAGTAAATTCACGGTGTTGCATAACCATCACTACTATCTATTTCCAGAACTTTCTCATCATCCCAAATAGAAACTCTGTACCTATTGAACAATAATACTCTATTGTTCCCCCTGGCAACCACCATTCTACTTTCTGTTTCTATGAATTTGCCTACTCTAGGAACCTCATATAAGTGGCATCAGATAATATTTGTCCGTTTGTGTCTTCTCTGATTTTTACAGCTCTGACAGTCCCTCCTGGTTTGTTATTAGATTACATATTATCTTGTGTTGATGTTTGACCTTTTCCTATGTGTGATGCCTATCTTCTGCGGACAAAGAGTGCCCCGAGGGCAGCTCCTCCCCAGCACAGACAGGCATGGCTCTGGGTACATGGCTGGGTTCAATAAACTCCTTAATAGTCAAGGGAATCGCTGACTGAAGGAATGAATGAATGGACACGTGGGTGAGACACTAGAGGTCTGAGCCAGTGACAGGGTGTGTGGGGGAAGGAGCCATACCTGAGGACACCCGTTCTGGCTGACCTGAGGAACATCCAAGTGCAGAAGAGACGGGATTGGGAAGGGGAGTGGGGTGATGGGCAGCCCCACGAAGGCTGGGTCCTGCTTCATTTGATTGACCCTGGGGAGGCAAGGAGACAGGGGTCAGCCCATGAGTGCTACAGATGCCCAGTACTCTTGACTCTCTGCCCAAGCCTGGAAGCCATGGAGTCCCGCTTGGACGGACTCTGGACTGATGTGAGAGAGGAGGAGGCTGCAGTGGCTTGGACACCAGGACAGGGGATGGATGGTCCTCCTGATTGCTGGCCCAAGCCTTGGGAAAACTCATCTTGGTCAGGAGATAGGCTGCAACTCCCAGGTTCCTTTCCCCATGGCTCACTGTGGCCTTGGCCACATCTCAATGCCTCAGCTGGCCCATCTTTAAAATGCCTCACCTTTGGAAGTCCTTGTCAGAGTGACCCACCCCCAAGGTTTAGGCTTAAGGTGGGGAGCACGGAGGCTGTAAGGGCAGGATTCAGGGTGTGTGCATGTGCTGAGCTCTTTAGGAGGGCTGGGAATGAGTGAATCAGTCATCTTCATTTCTCCAACAAGCAAGGGGTATTCACAGGTCATCAGAACTCAACAGATGGTTTGGCTGAGTCTTGTTGGGCCACCAGAGGCAGTGACAGAGGCAGACAGTTCTGCCTCCCCATCCCATACCCACAGCATCAGGTTGGGAGGGGCTGAGGACCTCCTCTCCTCCTCCACATGTTGGCCTGCCCTGCAGCCTGCTCTCCAGAGAGTTCTGAGCCACCCCTCTCCAGGGGCTGAGAGCACCTTCCTGGGACCTCAGACCCAGTGGGAAGGTTTAAAGGGCCTTGGGGAGGGTAGGTTTCTAGGCCTCCTGGAATCATGTGGCAATGATAGCCTTTCCCCTCCTCTGTCCTCTGCCCTCCCCACCCTCCTTAAGTGAGTGTGGGCCCCACTCACTTAAAATCACTGTAGTTGGGAACCACCCTGGCAATGACCACCATGGGGTCAGAGTTGTTGACCAGGGCCTCGTTGATTCCCCGGAGAAAGACCTGGAGAAGAGAGGAGGCAAGTGAGCCTTGGGTGGCCTAGGGCCCTCTCAGAAACAAGGCCAACCCATCTACCATCTTTCTCCCCAGTAATGAGATCATCTTTGCCTCCATCTGCCTCATTTGGTTCTCTGCTCAAGGCTACTCTCTTTCAGACGCTGGGCTAGGCATTGGGAAGGCAGGGGGAGAAGACACAGATTCTGTCCCCCCCATACCTCTATTGCCAACCCAAGAAATTCCTGATCTGGCTACTGGCCCTCACCCCTTACCCACCAAATGGGTTCCCACTAGCCCCTCAGTCCTCACCCCAACTCCCCCCAGCTGTGATTCCTGTGGCTTCTTCTACTTCTCTGACCCCCATCAGTGGCCTCTGCTTCTATTCTGGCCCCCAATCCATCCCCTTTCTCAGGCAATTTGACACATGATGGCAAAAACCACTTTTGTAAAAATAAATGGGATCATGTTATTTCTCCTGCTTGAGACCCAGAGATGACCCTCCTCCCACTGCCCTTAGAATGAATTCTATAATTCTAACCATCATGGTCAAGGCCTGCATGTGTGGCCTGTCTGCCCTCAGCCCACATTTCCACCAATCCCTCAGTCCTTGGCTCTAGCCTCTTTTGTCTCACACCTCCAGCATACTCACTTGTTTCTGCCTCGGAGTCTTTGCATACGCTGATCCCTCTGCCTAGATTCCCCACCCCCACCCCCAGTGACTCAGTGGCTGACTCCTTCTCTTCCTTTAGAGCTTAAATGTCACCACCTTCTGGAGGCCTTCTGTGACCTTACTAAAGTAGCCCACCCCATTCTCTTAGCCCCTGGATTGTCTCTTCTCTAGCACTCATCATAGCCTGTGTTTGTTCTAATTCTTTCTTGCTCACATTGTGTCCATTTGACTAGAACCTAGTCTCCACAGAGGCAGGGATCATGTCTACCTCATTCACTGCTGTATAGCCAGCTGTTAGCAAATGCATGTGATACAGAGTAGGAGCCCAGTATGTGTTTGGGGAATAAATGAGCACCATTTAGGAAGGAGAAAAGTAGAGGATGGGGAGGGAGAGGCTGAGTGTGTTTCTGAGCACGAGAGAAACAGAATCACTGAGACCTGGGAGGGCAGGGCAGGAGCCAGGAAGTGACCTCAGCAGGGTGGGAGGGCTGGGCTTGAGCTGGTCTTGGAAGGTGGATGGGGGCCCTAATTACATGGGAAGAAGAGCAGGAAAAAGAAGGGGCTGTGAACACAGCTGAGGGCCCACTCACAACAGCTGAGTCACTATGTCACCATGGCGAGTCCCTGCTCCATGCCGGACCTTAGTATCCCAGCTCATACCCTGAGGGGTTGGACTAGACTGTCTCTGGTCCTCCCAGTTCTGACCTTCAATGGGAGGAGAGTGCCTGAGAGTAAGGGCTTGTTCTGGATCCTCTTTCCTCCTCCCTGGGCACTCTCTCCAAGGACCCTGTGCCAGGACCCATCTTAGCAGGTGGCTAGCAACTCCACACAGCTGTGAGCTGATAAGGCCTTAAGATAGTGCTCAGGGCCTTTCAGTGCTCACTGGGGCCCCTGGAGACTGAATCCCTTCCCCACATTCAAAGGACTGAATCTGATGCGGGCATTTCAAACTTCAGGTGGGGGTGGGAGTCTGGGCTGAGCGAGTCCACTGCAGAGGTGTCAGGCCCTCGTGCACACAGGGACTCTAACAGGTGTAG